CAAGCTCGAGGACCTGAGTCAGATCACCCGATCCACATGGTGGAAGGAGAGAACAGACTCTTACAAGTTACTCTCTATTAATCTCCCCTCTTGACATACATCTTCACCACACACACACACACACACACACACACACACACACACACACACTCTCACATCACGGCACACAGATGCCCATAAGCACACACACACATGCACACACACACGTAAATAAATGTAAAAAATTGAATTAAGCTGCTAGGAATATTCACGTAAATCTTTATGGATAGGATACGTGGGTAGATGCTTATAAGTGTAACTGCTGATTTATGGGGGAGGTGTATGTTTGACTTAGGAAAGATGAGAACAGTTTCTGAAGCAGTTTTATAATTTTTGTATTTTATTATATCTGTATAATTTTTGTATTCTCACTAGCACTGATTGAACATTCTGTTGAAAATGCTAATGAAGGAGTTAAGAGCATACCACACTGCCATATTCACTATTTTGACTTTAAAGGCACTTAAAAAGCAGGTTCAAGAGGGTTACTTTGAACTCTTTCATGAAGGCAGGAGATGACAGTCCTAGTCCCTGATCTAGAAGGAAAGTAACCCAACCCTTTTATCACCAAGGATGGGAAGTTGAGCCCAAGAGAATTCTCCACAAATCATTAGAAATTACTTTTAATGTTAGATTTAGGAGAGGAGAAAAGGATCAAGTTTAGAGTTTGAAATAAGAGCCAGAGCCAGACCTGCAACAGGTAAGGAATGTGTTTATTCAAGGTATCACAACAAAGGACAGGACACCCACCTCTAATGAAGGGGGATTTGGATTTATATAGGAGTTCTACTGAACACAGCTGCAGGAGTTCATTTGGTGCCAGGTGTCCTTGGGTGACTGAAGGTCTTCTTCCAAGACTATTTTCTCAGGTGGGTGGGGCAGGAGAGCAATCTGGGGCCCTAAAGGAGACAAGTCCGTGCCACAGTCTCCTTCAGTCCTGGGAGTAACCAGTGGATAAGGCTTGAGCAAGGCCCACCTGCAATTTAGGGTCAGTTGCTTCCCTAGTGAGGCTTATGGCTCCTCTGCAATTCACACATTCTATCACTTCATCTTCTAATAACGTAATTTAGTTACTTTTCACAACTCACTGTTGTCTAAATCAATGTATAATTTTTGAGCTCTGTGTCTTAGGGTCTTAATTTGCTTATTAAAGCACCCATGCCACGTAAAACGTGAAGTAAATAAGTGTACTTGTTTCTGGTCCTATTGACAGTTTATCAGATCTAGCTGAAAAACACTAAAAGGATAGAGGTAACATTTTGCCTTTTAGCATTTGAAAATTTGGTAAGACTGTTCAATTTTAGCCACTCTGAAGATGTGAAACATTTCAATGTGCTTTTAATTTGCATTTCCCCAGTGTTGACATGTTATGTGCTTGACTATCATATCTCCCCTTTGTGAGATGTCTATTCAATTCTTTTGTCTATTTAAAAAAATTGCTTTTTAAAAATTATTTAGAGTTCTTTAAATATTCTGAGTACAAGACCTTTTCAGATATACATATTGAAATTTTTTGTTTGATTTTCCTTATTTTCTCCATCTTTTACTAAGCATTCTTTTTTGAAAATTTTATTACTTTTATGTGTATGTGTGTATTGCCTGCATGTAGGTAAGTGCACCCGTGTCTGCAATGCCGGTGGAGGTCAGAAGAGGCTGTCGGATCCCCTGGGACTGGAGTTATGGACAGTTGTTAGCTGCCATGTGGGTGCTGGGATTCGAACCCGGGTCTTCTGCAAGAACAACCAGTGTCCTTAACCTCTGAGCCCTCTCCAGCCCCTAAGCAAACATTCTTTTACTAAGCAGGCATGTTTCATTTTGAGGAATTTTGACTTATCAATTAAAAATTGTGTAGTTTTAATTTCTGTTGTATCTAAGATATATGAAAATATTACCCTATATTTTCTCTAAGAGTGATGTGTTTTCACATTTTAACAGTACTAATCCTTAAGCTGCCTATATAAATGCACCCCAGCCCACCCCCAGTTCTTCATAATTTCTCCATCCCCCCAGTGCCTCCTACAGTGGCATCTGGGTAGAGTATATATTTTTAAGCTCAATTTGAATATCAACTTTTGTTGCTTTTAAATTGGTGCAATGCCGTAACCCACATCAGCAGCTCAAAGCTTAATTGAGCCTAAGCGTCGACCTAGAAACTGTTAAAAATAAGGTGACTGTGACTCACTGGTAGGAACGGCAGGTCTGGAAATCAGATCAGTTTAAAGCTTGGCTAAACTTACGGCCATCCCAACCGACCATGTTTCCAGCCGGTCAAGAGGGCAGATCATTTTAACGGAAGTGACCTGCAGTCCTCTAACGTTTCTGTGTTCTCACTAGTTTGCCTTTCGAGAAACTTAAAAAAAACACCGAAGGGAAAGCACTGTTACTGCAAGGTGTGAAAAGTGTGGACTGTTTCACAACAGGAATCAGTGGCCGGGACCGTAAGCTTTCCAACCGTTGGCTCAAGCTCTCCGCCAAGAAAATGGCAAGAAGCTCTGACCGGATCGGAGGGTTGTGGTCTTAACGTTAGTTCCACCGTGTGGCTTTTGGTCCTGGAGCCTCCCTGGCCGGCAGTTAAACATGGAACTCCTCATTGGGTATTCTTGAAGTTAGCAGGAGGAATCAGCTGCCAGCTTACTGCCGAGTGGAAAGCTGCACGAGATTCCGGGATCGGAATGAAATGCTAATTTCTGAGGTCGAGCGCCGCGGCGCCGCACATTTTTGGCGAGTCTGCGCCGGGGCCGCGGTGCGAAGCGAATCGCGCCGGGAGGTGGACGCCGGGTCAGCCTGCGCCTTTTCCCTAGTAATTTTGGAATCATGCCTGAAATGCCGGAGGCCATGGAACAGGTAAGAGCTAGCGAGTCAAGAAAACCTCTCCGTCCGGAGTTGCCTTAAAACCTTTCCTGAACGACTGGAAACGGCAGAAGGGGTGCGAAGCCGGCGTCTTGCATTTCCTTAAATTGGATGCCAAAAAAAAAAAAAAAAAAAAAAAAAAAAAAAAAAAGATAATAATAACCTAGGGACACAGTAAACTACTTGGGTAACTGACCCAGAAAATCAAACGGGAGAGCTCAGTTGAAGTCACTGACAAAAATAAAACGTAAAACAATGATAATTTTATTCCTCAGATTAAGTGCCACGATGGTGACGGTTCGGTGTGTTTAAGGATTTTCTCTGGAGTTCACGCTCCAGCTTTGTGTTGGACTCGAATCTGCTAATGTGACTTTGAAATCCAGTTTGCACTCTTTTTAGCCGTGAGTAGGAAGTGGAGCTTGTAAACAAAGACCCTAGCCTCATGAAAGAAAATGGTAAACATTGCAGCTCAGGGTCTGCGCCCAGAACTATGCCCAACTTTTACCCGCAGGTAGCCAATCGAGTTCTTAAATACAGACAGCAACCTTTCGGTCCTTGTTCACAAGGCTGTTCTGAAAGCCAAGCTGTCAATGGTACAAATCCTTGAATCTAGCTGTTGAGCGCATTTTTTTAGCCTCTGTAGGAAGATGAGATTGCTTTACACATTCCGACCAGAAACAAAAATCTCACTTTTAAGCTGTGAGTTTGAGGGATCTTGGATTTGCTCCCTCGCCTGGATTTTTGTCTGATAATGCTATAATTTAGTGTTTTCTTTTTTAAGAACTGTAAAAGTCTGGGTTTTTTGTCTTTTTTTTTTTTTTAAATCGAAAAGTTGGACCTCAGGCTATCCTTGTTTTCTCTTCCAAAGAATTGCACGGATAAGGAAGTAAGTTCTTGGGGGCGGGCTGTCACAGGGCCCCGACAAAAACTTTTTAAAGGCGGCTTAATCGTTCTAAAATAAACCAACAGGATTATGGAAATAAGGCTTTCGGAAAAATCCTAGCAGTGGTGATCACGCCTTGGGGCGTGGGAGTCTGGCCTAGAACAGACTGTTGGATATAAAGTTGGCGAATCCTCTCGGTGTGTGAGAGCTTTCTATGTAAATTTCAGTTATAACAGGTAGGGAAGAGTTGAGTGCTGGGTCGAACAACACTTAGGGCTGTTGTTTCTGATTCACTTAAAGTAACCACGCGGTTTGGAAGAGCGCCCAGCCTTGGCGCTCTGCTTGGCTCCATCTTCTTGAAGTTCTTGCCAAGGCTTGGCCCCAGAGAGCAGCCCCAAGGTCCAAAGGGCAAGTCTGGGCGCCTGTAGATACACCGAAAAGCAAAGTTCCGGGCTCGTTATCACAGTGCAGTTTCTCATTCTTTAATTATGGGGGGGCGGTGAAGAACCTGTCTTTTAAATAGGTGCCCAGATAATCTTCCTCTCTCCCACACCTTTGTATATTTAAAGGCTAAAAGTAGTTTCACATTTTTGAAATTTCACAGCCCCACCTATTTTTTTTTAGCACCCCAGAACAGTTTCCAGAGATATATTAACTTATCTTTATTTTTTCTCTATGTTTAAAAAAAAAAATACTCCTTGCTGAGGTTGGTGGCACTTGGGAAGCTGGAGGATCAGAAGTTCAAGGTCATCTTCAACTACATAGTAAGCCCTAAGCCAGACTGAGCTACAAGATACTGTTTAAAACCAACAGAAGTCTTAGCGTTCAGTAGGTGTGTTCGCGGTGCCTTTAGTTCGCACATCTCCTAACTTTAATGTTTTAAGGCTATTTTAGATAGTACTTGCGCAGTTGGTTCTTAGACATTGGACAGTTTGCAAACCTGGAACTCTGGGTGAATTGATTCTATACTTCAGCTAAGAAGGAAAAAGTAGAGGAGGGGGAAAAAAACAAACAAAAAAACCAAAAAAACAACCAGCATGCCAAAAAAAGCCCCCAAGGAACCCTGTTTATTGCTTAGCGTCAGGGCCCGTGATTGGTGTATCCCTTTAAGAACTGGCACATGGGCTGAGAAAGCCCGCCCCTTTTGAGGGCGTGGCTGCGCGCAGCCAATTGGCGGGTGCGGCCTTGGCTGCGGAAGCCGGAAGTGGTGGCCGGGCTCGGCCTGGACCTGGGGGAGGCGGGCCTTGGGACGCCTGCGCTGCTGCCCCGGGTGGTGCTGCGCTGGAGCTGGCGGCGGCCGCGGTGGCGGCGGCGCAATCACGGCGGGCATGGTGGGCCGGGAGAAGGAGCTGTCTATCCATTTCGTCCCCGGCAGCTGCCAGCTGGTGGAGGTGAGGGTCCGGGCTTGCGGCCGGCGGGGATTCCAGGGCTGCGCCTCGGAGTTTGTTTACCTCGCACCCTGCTGGGCGGTGCTCTGCCGCTGCAGCAGGAAGCTGGGAGGTGGGGGCTCCCCGGGACCCGGACCGCTCGTTTCCAGTTTCTATTCTGTGTTCGTCATCTTTGGTTTGCATTTCTGGATCTTAAAATCTCCAGTCTTGGAGGAAGAAGAGGGGAACGTGGCTTTTGAGAAATGACAGTGTTAGTGGTGTCAACTTACGGAACCCATAGTTTTCACGGGGCACATTATGTTAGGCGCCAAAGAGGTATCAGTCTTCCCAACCATGCGGTGCCGTTACCGCTCTGCGTAGTCCCGAGTTCATTCAGTAAGATTGAGCAGGAATTCTAATTCAGATCTGTTTGACCTATCATGCGTGATGGAAGACTGTTGAAATTTGGGAGATGTATCTCTGGTTAACACCGCTCTCCCCCACCAAAATACGATCCCCCCTTACAGCACAGCTGATAAGAAGACTGCTAATTCCCAAATGTGTGTTACTCAGTAAGGAAGAATTTATCAGGTGGCTGGTTTTGTCAGTGCACTTAATTATTTTTTAATATTTGCTTTGTGTGTGCGAGTGTATTGCCAGCATGTATGTAAGTGCACCAGCTCGTGCAATGCCCGCGGAGACCAGAAGAGAGCGTCAGATCCCCTGGAACTGGAGTTATAGATGACTGTTAGTTGCCCCTTGGGTGCTGGGAATTGAACACTAGTCCTCTGCGAGAGCAGCCACTGTTTTTAACCCTTGAGCCATCTCTCCAACCCCTCAATGCCAAGTTTTTATGCTTGAGTGGTGTATACTCAGTACTGCCTTCAAGTGACGCGGTGTTTGCTAAAGTTCAGATGTGTGTGCTCTTTGTAATTCTGTTTTCCTGTGGGCTTTAACTTACTGACAGTGTGTTTCCAAATGTTTCTGTATATGTGTATGCGTGTGGCATATAAGTTTAATGTGTTCTCACAGTTTAGTAAAGAAATGAAAATTGTCAGGCTAGTGGCACACACCTTTAATCGCAGCATTTGGGTGGCAGAGGCCAGTGAATTTCTGTGAGTTCCAGGCCAGCCCCACTACAGGGAGACCCTGTCTCTAAAGACAAAAAAAAAAAAAAAAAAAAAAGGAAAATGGTGAACTAGGTCTGTTGACTTGCATGCCCGTAATTGCAGCATTCCGGAGGCTGAGGCAGGAGGATCACCAGGAGTTTGAGGCCAGCCTGGGCTACTGGTAACACTGACTCTCTCTCTCTCTCTCTCTCTCTCTCTCTCTCTCTCTCTCTCACACACACACACACACATGCACGCACGCGGTGGGTGCCTTTTGTCATTAAAATGGTATAGCTATGATTTGCACGCACTTGTTGCCCTCTCAAAACCTGTGCAACTAAAACTCACTCTTGTCTGGTCTCTGTTAGAGAGGCAGCCTACTGTGGTTCCTGGTAGCACTCCTGCCGTTGGGGACAATAGGATGACAGGGTGTTGGGCCATTCCCATCTGAGTTCATCGTTATGTCTGTTGTCTGAGAATCTTCAGTTTCTGAAATCCCAAGGGTGTCTACTGAAAGACCTACCTCTGGGAATGTTGTGGAGGTCAGTCAAGTGAGTGTGAAACTTTGCCAAGTTCAGCAGTTTCCTAAGTAGTAAGTAATAAGGTATTGTATTTGTTTTAAGAATACCCTCTGGCAGTTATTAGTGATATTTTGTTTTCTTAATTTCCTAGACCATATTTTAGTAGGTTTTAAATTGTATGTATTAAATGTTTCAAGAGTTCGGTGTTGTTTTTTGTTTGTGTGTTTTGACTGGAGGGGTTCAAAACCAGGGCGTCAGTGTACTACAAGCTTTTCGGAGTTTGCAAACACGATGTGAAACGGTGAATTCCATTCATCTTATCTAGTTTATGCCAGCAGAGGCGGATATGTAGCTTAAACTGCTACATGGTCTACTTTACTCATATAAACAAAATTGAGAAAGTAGACTGCTCATGCGGATAAATAAATATTTCAAACTCTTCATTGTGGTTGGGGTAAAGTAGACAGCCTTTTATTCCTGAGTTCCTCTAAGTGTTTTCCTCCGTTTTGAAGAAGCTAAAATAACTTATGGAATGGTAGTTTACACAACTGTTGAGGGGAATACTTCTTTTCCTAAAAGAACAGTGAAACAGTATGCCTGCAAAAGCTTCAGGTTCAGAGCTCTCTTTATAAGAAACTCAAAAATAGATGACTGTTTTGTTTCACATCATTTAATTTTAGAATGAAGCTGCCTTAAGTAAATAAAGCTCTTTTCACACTATTAAAACCCTTAGTGCAGGTAATATGGATTGGGAAACTTAAAAGGTGGCAAGAGCCTTTACCCTCTTGTCTCATTGTAGCAGTGAGGAGTTAGATCAGTAAGTGTTCTGATTTCTCGGCACCACAGCTGTGGCAGAACAGGCAGAACTTTGATCATTCATGAAACCAAATGTAAATTCTGAGAACTTAGAAAAAACGCAGTGTATGTGACTTCCGTGTGAAAACAGTAGGACTCAAGTCCTGCTCTCTGCTTTTTTCTTTTTCCTCTGGACAGGAATCACTGACCTCTTTAAACTCTAGGAAGCTCACGTTGGAAATTACAAAGGGGAACAGCCTGTATTTCTATAACTGGATAGTTTTCACATATTAGGTATTGTTCTTTCCTTTTCAGTAAATGCTTGCATTTCAGATTTCTATTCTAATAAATAAATATTTTTGAATGACATGTGACATGTGTATTATGTCATTTTCCTCTAGGGCTGATAACATATTACTCCAGAGTATATGAATATAAAGTCACAGTTTCCTCATGTGACCCCAATTTTTTTTTTTTTTTTGTCTTTTTGAGACAGGGTCTCCCTGTAGCCTCAACTGGCCCAAAGGTGTGTGCCACCATGCCCAGCTACAATCATTTTTTTAAAAAGTGAAATGTATTACAGTCCCATAAGAAACTTGTTCTTCTTGAAAACTAATGCTGTATCAAATCTAAGATGCTCTTGTTTTTTTTTTTAAATTATTTATTTAATAACCACACAATCAGAAGAAGCATTTCATTACAACAGCATTGACATATTCAATAACAATTTCCAGAGCTAAGATGTGTCTCCTTCAAAATTGGCTGTAAAATTTTAGGTTTATAGTTGAATTAATACAGTTATACAATATTGTACTCAGTATAAACCCTATAAGACATAAAATTAAATGAGGTTTTATACTTTAAAAAAGATCTCCATCTCACTATTAAAATACACAGTTTCACACAGAAAAATTCATTTTCAATATGATTAACAGTAAAATGCACATGCATTTCTAATCTTTATATATCTGATTATTACTGGTCACAGTCGGTTACTTTGTGAGCTCCTTGGCATCTGAGCGTGGATATAAAGTCATCAGGTAGATTTCAATGGTAATGTTTTTCACATCTACCAGTTATTAAGGAGCAAATTTTTATGCCTTGAAGAATTTTTTTTTCTTTTTTTAAATTTATTTATACACCGACTTCCCACATAGCACCCTTCCATACCCTCCCTCCCCCGACTAGAGCCCTTATACTCTGATATCCCTGCTACTGTCTGCTGTGTTGTCAGCACCCCCAGCCATTCCCCACTACTTGCCCTTCTGGTGAATCTAGTCAGCCTATCTAGAGG